ATAATTTCAACTGTTAAACTGTTTTAAAATCGTACTGTGATATAATCTAAAGCCATAACCTATGTTTTTGTCACTTCATCTGTAACCTAAGAGGGTTGATCTGTGTTTAGGTATCTTTTAAGTATTAAAATGCTGGAAACAGAGAGTCTACAATGACAGACACACAGGCAGTCATAAAGAAACTGGAGTAAGAAAAGACATTGAGACTTACCAAATTCTTGACACTAAGGAAATTTAACTATCAAAAATCAAAGTCAAAAGACAACTCTGGACAATTTTTTATAGGTTGGCAAAAAGTTTAACTTTGAAAGCTACTATGCATAAGAGTGTTCAATTGACTTTATTGGAAATAAAAGTGTATTGAATTTTTCAAGTCCAGAAATGGCAAGAGGAAAATAAAATCCTACTAATACGTGAGTAATACACAGATCTTTCTCTAATATCTGATATGTTTCTCTCCTCATCTCCATATTTTCTTTCTAAAATGCATTGTTACATATACTAAATGGAGTACACTAACTACATTTAGGTCTCTGATCCCTGAGAAACTTTCCATTCCCCCAAGGGTCACCGTCCTCAACTACAGAAGTAAATGTGGTTAGCACTACAGATGCCAAAGATACACACCTGGGCTGAACCCACGACAGAGCCTGGAAGTTGCCTTCTTAGCTAAATCTTTTTGTAATTTTATTTTCTTATAATTTTCCTCTTGAGAAAGTAAAATAAAGTTTTGGAAGAAAGCAAGAGAGAAAGAGAGACTGCCAGTAGTTGGGCATTTTTGCTTGTTGAATCTTTGCAATTCTTAAAACACTTCCTAGTGCCCCAGCACTTCTGCCTTCCTCAATACAATCAATTTTTTAAAAAAATGAAACAGCACTTTGTTTCAAACCCCTTTTGATTCCTAGAAAACTTTCAATAAACTAAATCACATGTAGAAGCCCAATATATAAAATTCTGATTAAAGATGAGCCAGGGAGCCTGTAGCACATGAGAACTGAAAGCAAACAGTTTGAAAACTACTGGTTTAGAACATAAATACCTCTAACTAGACTATCTATGCACTTTCTTTTAGAAATTATACTTAGTTCAACCCTGGAACAAGTATGTAAGTGCAAATTTGAACTTTAAAAATTAGTATTCTAATGCTAGAAGAAAGGTTCCCTCAAGATGGATAAAACTATACACACACACACACACACAAAGACTACACACATTTCACCTGCTTTGTTATGGCATTATTGACATTCAGATAGTCCCTGAGAAAGTGATACTGTGAAAGTTCGGAGTTCTAACCCAGCAGACAAATTAATAGACCCAGAAATGCAAGGACTCAGTCATCAACAGTTCGTGAGCTGATTTCGACAGCACCTCTGATGTGCAGCTACTGTGTTTTGCAAAGAAGGAAATCATCATCTACATTTGTATATAGGAACAATAGCAAATGAGTCACCTACTTTGTATTTTTAACTAAAAGCAAAGCAAATTGGTTATGCAAATACTACTTGAATTTAGAAAGAATAAAACCAGAATAATTTAAAACTGTCAAACGAAGGCATGAAAAGGTGAGAGGGAGTACCTATACAGAGCTTACCATTTTAAAAACTTTGTCAGGCACTGCATTAGTTTGAGTAGCTTCCAGATATTCTGTCCAGGAAAAATTTTCTGGATCAGGATAACCTAAAAAAGAAAAAAAGATATAAATATCAAAAGATTATTCATAGTCTGATTCCCATATACTATTATGCAAAATATTTGATAATAATAATGCCCACTGTTAATTGAATGCTCATAATTTAATAGACCCCATGATAAGAACTTCATATATATTAATTCACTTAAGTCTTAAAACCTCTGAGAAGGCTAAGGCATTCTGGCATGCAAGCACTTATTCACTGGGACATTCATTCACTTAATAAGGTTAAGCAGGTCTGTCAAGGTCAAATGGCAATGCCAGCACTTGGCAGAGTCAGGTGATAAACAGGTCTCTGACTTCCAAGCTCCATCAGAAGGCCCTTTGGAAGTTTGAAAAACTCACAATCAACTATCTGACCTCAAACTATGAATTGGAAAAAATATCCTGAGATTCCTTCCAATTTCTCCAATAATTTTATTAGGGTTTTATTCCCATTATTAAATCCTTGTAATTATAATTTCCAAAAATTGCTATTTATCATTGCAATCTAAAAATATATATTGGTATAACATAGTATAAAGCACTGTATTTAAAATTTCCTTCTAGTTGGGTTTCTTGTTTCCCTTTACATTTTTCTTTTATTCCTAATTACATTTGCTAGAGGTCTATCCATATTATGTTGTTTTCTTTATGCTTTCAAGCAGTTAAGTACTCAGATTTGTTTGTCAGGTCCATTGTTTTCTTTTCTCTTCTTGTCTAATTATTTTGTTTGCTGCTTTAACTATTATTACATCCTCCCTCCTACTTTCTTAGGTCTATTTTATACAATTTTATACTTGTTTTGTCAAATTGAATTGTAAACATAATATATTTTCACTTTTTAAAAATAATAAAAGCATTTAAGACTATTAACTGGCCATTGTTGCCACTAAATACAGGTTTAGACAACTGGACAA